GGCTGACCCTCCTACCATGGGCAGCATCCTGGCGGCTCCCATGGCCGCGGGGACTTGTGGGGCTGCCCAGGGAGTGGGGACCTGCCGTGTGGGGGGGGCGCTGTGTCCCTTCTGCCTGCCCCTCGGCCCCTCTTTGAGCCTCAGAAATCCCGAGGATGCTGGAGTAGATGGCCGCTGGGCTCCTCACGTCCTCAGGGATCTGGAGGGACCTTGGGAGCCAGAGGTGGCAGACGGTGACGTGTGTGAGCCCCCAAGGGCTGTGTCCCCATCACAGGACCCGCCTTGGGCTCTGTGGTTCTGTCCTGGGCCAGAGGACGCATGCCCTACCAAGGCCCCCACGGTCACCCATGGCTACCGGTCCACTGTCCATCATCGCCGCCCGACCTCTGCCCACCAGCTCCTGAGGCGTGGGCGCTGTGCCCCATGTGACCCACGTGACCGAGGCTCACCCGTCCTCTCCCGTCCCCTCGGGTCTTCCCCCCATTCAGGCTGATTCCCAGGAGGGTGACGCTGATCATCGGGGCCACGATGCAGGTAGGAGCCGAGGCCTGTCCTTCCCACTCATGTCCCCAGCGGGTCCCAGCGAGGAGGCCACCGCCCCGCCTCAGGACAAGCCCGCCTGTGGCCTCTGCTGGCCCGAGGGTGGACGTTCCTGACGCGTGTGCAGGTGCCCACGAAGCCACGCGTCTGCCCCGCAGGTCATCTCTGAGGGCGGTCCCCAGCCGCAGTCCCACATCCTCTTCTCCGTCAGCAACGCCAGCGTGGCCACCGTGGGCAGCACAGGGCTGGTCCGTGGCCTGGCCGTGGGCAGCGGCACCGTGTCGGGCGTCGTGCCAGCGGCGGACGCGGACACCGGCAAGGTCATCGTGGGCTCCCAGGTATCCCTGAGCCCGTGGTGGCCGGCACTGGCCACGCCTGGGGTGGGGAGCCCTGCGGGTTGGTGCCCTGGGTCCAGGCAGCCCCGTGTGGCCAGCGGTGCCAGGCACTCCTGGGGACCTGCCCCTGGACCTGCCGTCCCTGTGTGTCCCCTCCCGGGACAAACTGCCCATGTGGGCCCCGTCCCCGGGTGCCTCCTTCAGGCCGAGGCTCCCAGGTCTCCTGTGGCGGGCCAGGCCACCACCCC